ATAGGAATCGAATGTTTGTTGAACTATTCAAATTGGTTGATCCGTGCACTCGAAAACGTGGACGAAAAATTTTATCCATACATACATGCACACACACACACATACACACATACACACATCCATTTTTTCTAAGGTATGCCAAAATATTCAGAAACCTTCAAAACGTCGAGATATGTAAAAATTTTCAATTTCGATTTTCGGCCCATTACAATAACTAACCCTACGGGAAGTTAAGAAAGGAAGTTGATTTTTTTTATAAATATTAGAATTTTTTTGAATATATGAAAGCAATGCAAATTTTAAAAAAAAACTAAAAGGTATTGGAGAAATTCGATTGTTTTGGAAATCTTGCACCATTGCGCATTGTTGGTCAGATCTCAGACGTGACAATGAATTTTTAACTTCCTAAAGTTTGTTTTTGCAAAAAAGTCAAATTTTCTAATTGGTAAGTAATATTTAATCTTTTGTCAACGTTTTCTCAAGGACGGCTGCAGGGCCGTGTCTGGGTATATGGTCACCTGCGTGCGAGCATTTTTTGGCCGCCCATGAAAATAACAAAATAAGAAAAAATCAAATAAGTTCTCACAAAAAAATTCGACATGTAATTTTTATTTTTTCTCGAAGTTTCTAGTCATTCTGAGTCGTTTGAGACCGGCTGATGAGCCGATTTTGACCTTTTGCCAACGTTTTCTCTGAAAAACGGTTACATCGATTTCAAAAATTTAAAAGTCACTAACGACTACGTCTGTCAGTAGTCCAGTCATTTGGTCATTTTGCCGGTACAGTACTCCGGGAATTCTGAAAATTGGTAATCCTATAGATTTCGAGGTGCTCTTTACGAAAATCAACTTTGCCACCTCAAATTTGAACGGCAAGTTGCCGCCATATTGAAAAAATGGCGTCAAAAAACAGCTTTTTCAAAATATCTCCTTTCTGGCTCATTCTACGATAGAAGTATCTATGTACGAATTAAACTAGAGAAATTTCCTACAATTCTTTAAAAAACCGTTTTTTTGTAAAATTGATAGTTTGAAAATACGGCCGCCTCAAAGTCTTTGCTGCTCTCGCCGTAGTATCAAATCTATCCATACATGACAGCACTTTGAACTTGACCACATTCCTTCTAATAAATAAATATTTTCAATGTTAAATTAAGCCAATAAGATCTAGAAATAAATTAATTCAAATATTTTTCTGTTTTTTTGGTGATTTTTTAACGCCTGAATTAATAGATTTTTTATAGTTAAGTCAATTATTGGCATATGTTGAAAAATCCATGCATCTTGCTTTAAGGCAAAGTTGCCACTTTCACCAGATTTATACACTTATTAATGATTTGAAAACAAAGCTTTTAATAACCGCTTTTTGATTCAATCTCGCTTTCAATACGGCCTCCTTCGGCTGATTTTGACTACGGTCGTCTTTTAATTCAGCGGATTTTCAATACGGGCGCGAATGAATTCAGCGGACTTTTAGTTTGGCCGCCTCTTAATCCAGCGGTCTTTCAACTTGGCCGCCTTTTAATCAGTGGACTTTCAATGCGACCGCTTTTCGTTAAGGCCGCCTTTAAATTTGTTCTTTTTTTATTTGGCCGCCTCTCGGCCGCTCCAAAAGGCGGCCGCCTGCGTGCGGTGCTCCACTGCACGCTGGCCAGGCACGGCTCTGGACGGCTGAACCGATTAGAAAAATTAAAAGCCATTTAATGATAACTCGCGTTGATTGTTTTTAACTTCCCGTAGGTAAGTTATTGTAATGGGCCGAAAATCGGAATTGAAAATTTTTACATTTCTCGACGTTTTGAAGGTTTCTGAACATTTTGGCATACTTCAGAAAAAATGGATGTGGGTGTGTGTATATGTATGCATGGATACAAATTTCCAGTCACGTTTTCGGGCGCACGGATCAACCGATTTGAATGGTTCAAAAAACATTCGATTCCTATCGATAAGGAAAAGAGCTGATTAGTTTTTGGCAAAGGCAGGCCCAGCCGTTTCGGGGATACGGAGCAAAGAGTGCAGAAAATAGAAATCGACTTTTTGAGAGAACGGAGTATCCGATTTGAATGATCTAAAAAACATTCAATTAGTAATGATTGGGAGAAGTGCTTATTAGTTTTTGGCAAAGGTAGGCCCAGCCATTTCGAAGATACGGAGCTAAATATGTAAAAAATGGCAGTTTTTGAGAGAACTAAGCGTCCGATTTGAATGATTCAAAGAACTTTATGCTTGTCTTGACAAAATAATTGATTTTGGAAAAAAACATTTTTTGCTTCATTTTTTTTTTAAATTTTTTGTATATCGAAAATAATTCAGATTTTATTTTTAATTCTGACTATAGTTCTAATAGTCTTTAAACGAATAATTTCAACTTTGCAATTCAGTTTATATATTACTTATAAATATTAGACAATGTTACAATATTTATAATAATTTATTTGAAAACATTCAGTATTCCTCGAACATTTAGTTACGGTACGGGAAGTTCCAGCAATTTGCCTTAAGGCACGATGCCACCCACCCCACTAGTTTTCGAAATAATCGGCGATGATCTCGAAAGTAAAAAAAGCGTTACCAGTAATTTTTCGTCCACTTGATCGCAAAAATTTTAAACTGGTTTCGATAATTTAAGAAACACTCTAAAAATATCAGTTTGTTCGGCCGTACAAACGTACTTTCTTCGTAATTAATTGTTGAAATTGTTTTTGGTGATTTTGAAGAAACTTTTTATGATGATGGCCTTGGTGAACATCCTAAAATATTGTAGGCCTAAGAAAAGTGGTTTAATTAAAATTCATTATAGTTTGGAAATATGAGCCGTCTCAATTCATCTTGATTATGTCGATTATTTACATACATCGAGAAGATTTTGCAACTCGCCTTAAGACGATATTCTACTTACTAAATAATTGACGTCTAAATCATCATCATGTTTGTCATCTTCAATCATACGCATTGAAACTACGATTGAAACAGAAAGATTGATCAATTTGTCCCAAAATAGTCATATGCATGTGCGCATTTGCGATATGTACTTAGGTAGTTTATGTTTTCGAGAGAAACTGAATTTCAATAGTTAAAAAACATTCGGAACCGCTGTTTTAAATTCAAAATTCCGCATTAAAAGTCAAATTGAAAACAGCAACAAACGATTTTAAATATTAATATTATATTTCTGTATTGTTTTCATTTATAATATTAAACTTGAATTTTGTTTCAGATATTGCTTTCATATTCAGCCTATGAAACTACAATTTAAATTTAACAGCAAAACGATTTTTCTTATTGCGATGATTATTAACTAACCTAAGGGAACAACGTAAGCATGTCCCATAGGCCTATCACTAGACGATATATTATTCATCTGCCTGTGCGATCGTCTGCCTCATCATAATGACTCAGTTTGCATTAAAACTGTTGAATAGAATAGATCAACTAGCTGTAAGTGGAATTCTGTCTTAAGGCAATTAGGGCATCGTGCTTACGGCAAATTGCTGGAACTTCCCGTACCAAAAATTATTTTTTAAAAACGATTAACGTTTTTGAAAAAATTTTACTTCAAAAAATTAGATTTTTGAGAAACTATAAATTTGACAAAAAATTACTTTTTTTGAAAAAAAAAATGTTTTCTTCATTTTGACATATTTTGAAAATTCTGAACTTTTTTTCAAAGAAATCGTACTGCTTGAACTGCATAGAGGCGAAATGTCAAAGCGCGTAAGTGCTGCGCCGCCGTCTAACGGATAAGCATTGGTACGGAACCCATATAAATGTAAAAAAAATGTATACTTATTGTTAAAATCTCTATAAAATATCTGATAATTTGACGTGCATATGTCTAATGATCATTTTTGATCGCCAAATGGCATTTTTTTTATTTTTCTCATTAGATCTCCGAAACCGCTAGATCTGCCTTCATGAAAATTTGATCAATTTTTCATCTTGTCAATACAAGTAAAATGTTTTTTGAATTATTAAAATCGGACGCTCCGTTCTCTTAAAAACTGATTTACCATTTTTGGCACTTTTTGCCCCGTATCTTCGGAACGGCTAGGCCTGCCTTCGCCAAAAACTAATCAGCACGTTTCCTTATCAATACGAATCAAATGTTTTTTGAATTATTCAAATCGATTGATCGGTGTTCCCGAAATCGTCGACGAAAATTTGTATCCGCACACACACACACACGCACACATACACACACACACACACACACATACATCCATTTTTTCTAAGGTATGCTAAAATATTCAGAAACCTTTGAAACGTAAAGATATATAAAAATTTTCATTTTCGATTTTTTTGCGATTACTATAACTTGCCCTACGGGAAGTTAATAATGAGGAAACCACGTCCCGTGGGCTTAATTTCTAAGGTAGAATATTATTTATAATGTAACCTTTTCTTGTTTCACTTTTTTTTTTATTTTGGTACTTTTATATTATAATGTTTTTTGTATATATCGAGTTTTTTAAATTAATTATAAGTGCGGCCCGCCATATTTTGATAAATGAATTCGGCCCGCGACTTGAAAAGGTTGCTTATTCTTAAGAATAAATCTATGCAGTGATAAAAGACAAGTGTTCTCTTTTCAAGATTTACTACTAGTTATTTTCAAAATATTTTTTAATCTTTTTTTTCTATTCGGAGCAATTTGTAAAGCAAAATTTTCATCAAAAATTCTTAAAAACTTGCTCACGTGATTAATGGATGTTTCCTAATATACATTTTCAATATTTTTTCAACAATTTTTAAACGATTTTCGATAATTTAACTCTAGAAATAAATAAGTAAAAATATACAATAGCTGAGATTTCTACCTTTGGATATTTGAATCTATTGATATAAAAGAAACTTACAACATTCTAAACATATTTCCTTTTTATTGAAAAATACATATACCACGCTCTCACATGCATATGTATATCTATCGCACTTTAATAAACAAATAATTTGTGAATAAACTATATAAAATGTTTATAATATTTTTATAAATATATATTCTTTCCAGAACGAAATAAATGCTGTTTATGTTATATTTTAAGAAAAAATATTGTTAAAATGCATATTTATTATTTATAATCAGTAATGATCTAGTTGTGTGTGGCAGCAGATTGCTTGAATCTTTCTTGGGCCTTTTTCCATTTAATGCGTTTCTTTTCAGTCCCAGAGTTGATTTCTAATAAGTCAGGAATATTCATGCCCAATCCTGAAGTGCCATTATTGCTGATTAATGGAATCTAAAATATTTTTTTATTAATTACAATAACAATTTAAGAAATGCTTTTCATCTTTGTGTATAGCCTATTTTACCGGCTCTATTAAGCCGCTGCTGTCTTTTCCTAAACCCTCTCCGCTGTTCCATCCCATTTTAGATAGCATTAGATATCCTTTATTCTTAGAACTAACGCTTCTGTAAGGAAAAACAATAATGTTTACTAATATACAATAAATCATGAAGATTACAATTATTTATGTGTATATTGCTCACACTCACTGTTCTACACTTGCAACTTCTTCTTTTCCATGAGGGTTATCCACTCCCACTACTTCTCTACGTGTTTGAGCTCTGTCATTGTATGTATTTGAACTCGAAACAGGAACTGAGTTGGATGCCAGAGCATAATGCTTTTTTAATCTTTGCAGTTCGCGTTTATGTTGAATTCTAATATCTTCTTTATTCATTTGATTATCTAAATAATAATACAATAGTATATGGAGATAACTACATGGTTAATTATATATCTTATACATATCCCCATAAATTCATACCAAATATAACAATTTTTAAAATTCGCGTATTGTTAAAAGTCGTGGCTTAAATAACGGACAAGCCGTGCCGGTGTAATTTTAGTATGTTTACCTTATTTCTTAAAATTTCTATCTATTATAATAATGATGTGTAACACAAGGGTGCTCAATGTCGATGTAGAGCAAGAAGTCAGGCAATAGCAGAGGAAAAAAGTAATAATAGTACATGTATATCATGATGCGAGAAAATATAGCCACCCATGCATGCGTACTTTATAGAAAAAAAAAAATTGATAGATACATGCAGTGATCTTTACAAATATCCTTGGACACACATAATAAAACTGTTGCTTCTTTGCACATTGGCCAAAAGTGTAAAAATCTAGAAGAATTTTAGACAACAAACCTAGTGATTAGAAGTAAATTGTGTTGCCCACCTTTAGTTAATGAATTAGGAGCTAGTTCTGCCTGAACTAATCCTGGTTCGCAAGAATCACAAGTAGCATCTCCAAAATGTATATGACAAAGCAAGTTGATGCCACCAATTTGAATCAAGCTGCCATGTATTACTTCCATTGGATCACTGCGTTTCTTAGATTCTGACAAGCGTTTACCATTTAAATATGAACCATTTCTAGATCCCATATCTATGACATAATATAGCTTTGAACACTCTGCATAAGTTAGCTGTAGATGGTTCTAAAAACACACAAAGATTATATATATATATATATATATATATGAGTAAGTTCTTCAAGGGCATACATCAAATAAAAGGCAAAGATTTAGAAGTTAATCTTTAATTTTTCCAAACGTTTCGACATAGTATTTTATGTCATCATCAGTGGATATAAATATGGTCTTACATCAGTAGCTAGCGCTAGGAACACAATTTTGCACTATCATATATACATTAACTTGTTTTTTTATATATTAATTTGTTGAACAGAGTATGGCAAAATATTTGTGAAATATATAATATATTTTGCACAGAGAACGTAGTTTATGTGACAGAGCCCGAGGCTGTAGTTGACTACAGCCTCGGGCTCTGTCACATAAACTACGTTCTCTGTGCAAAATATATTATATATTTCACAAATATTTTGCCATACTCTGTTCAACAAATTAATATATAAAAAAACAAGTTAATGTATATATGATAGTGCAAAATTGTGTTCCTAGCGCTAGCTACTGATGTAAGACCATATTTATATCCACTGATGATGACATAAAATACTATGTCGAAACGTTTGGAAAAATTAAAGATTAACTTCTAAATCTTTGCCTTTTATTTGATGTATGCCCTTGAAGAACTTACTCATATTTCTCAACATCAAAATTAACTACTTTAACATATATATATATATATATATATATATATATATAGTTCTAAATTGATAAAAAAAATTCTGAAAGTTTAGCTCTTAATATTAACTTTTAGATAGAGCGCAATTCAATCAAACTTTGTATGGAAATAGCATGGCAAAAAATTTTGAAAATTAAAAAAAAAATTTTTAGGTATAACTTAGCGATGAATTAAAAGTAAAAATTTGTGTCATTTTTTATTGAAAATTCCATGCTCTGCAAAATTTTTGAAATTTTTTTCATGCTATTTCCATATAAAACTTTGATCAATTTTTAACCATTTGAGCCCTTGGGAGCAAGGAAATTCAAAAATATCCATATTAAGGACCACCCTCATATATATGTATATATATATTACAATTTAAAATATCTTTTTAAATATTCACAATAGTTCTCCTAAAGCAAAAAAGTATGTATGGCACAAAAACAACAAAAGAATGATAGTTGTACCATGATAATTGTGGTCAGATGATAAGAAGGTGCAAAGTTATCATCATTCTTAAATCAATTTCATACTAAAGACTTAATTTTGTGATTAAACAAAATTTTGGAGATCAATTGAGAACAGTATCAAAATGATACCTAAAAGTGATAACAAAAATGAAAATGCGTATGATAATATTAAAATTACCTTGCTGATATTAATGTCTGGAAGAACTATAGCATGATTTCCTTCTCTACCAATTGTTCCGCCACTGCAAGTTATAAGAAATAATGTACCTACTTTAATTTTAGAATTATTACTTTCAGCAACTATAATTCTCATAGCAGGATGGCCCATTCGAGTTGTTTCTGAAAGCAATTTAAGGAATAACAACCGATTCAACATCAATTATTTAGTCTTTTACTTATTTATAAAAGAAGTTTTTCCAAACAAATGATAGTTCTTTTTTTTGCAGTAAATAAATGTCACCTGTATGAGCCTCTAAGTCTAGTTGATTATTATGGTCAATAAGTTTGTTTGGTTAAAATTTTAAAATTGAATTAATATTATTAAGATATTATTTCTAAAACTTTCTAAAAATTATTTCTAAAACATAATTGTTGCGACTTTAGTCTGCTTCTGAGTCCATCATTCTAAAAAATTAATTTTTTATCTTTAAAACTATCACTTTTTTCAATTAAAATTTCAAATGAGGTTGTAAATTTGCTAAAAATTCAAATTGAAAGTAAGACAATAAATTGTGCCTGCTTAACATGGGAGGTTGAATCTTATTGGCAATGCGTCTATAACTATTCACCATGAAAGTTCATTATAATGTATTTATGTTACATTAGGTTATTAAGGGTGTTAATAACAGTTGTTTATTATTAAATATGTTTGATTGTTTCATTTACCCATAATTGCATCAGCAGAACACTCTGATGGCACATCTGAATCATCAGAGCATTCTCCTTCTTCACGCTCAACTTCAGATGTTTTGGATCTATTTTTTTTAATTCTTTTATTTCGGTGAGATAACTCTAGGTCTATATGCTGACTAGATAGCTGTGAATGCTTTTCAGTTGTCTGATACCTCTTCCCATTGTAAGATACTGGTGAGCCAATTACACATTTACCAGATGTTAATTCTGATGTTATATTTCCCTACAAATTAGGGATCTTGTATTAGTTTATTAACATTTAAACTACTTTATAAAACATGCATATAAATGTTCAACAATTTTAATGTACTTTAAGTTGTAAAATATAAGTTTGAAATAGACAATTATAAGTAATGAACTTATCTTTCAATTTGGATTAACAATTAAACATAAATTATTTATGGCTACCATAGTTATGTGTGGTCATTCAACAAAATCAACAAAAATGTTTCATTTATAGTTTTATGTTTATAGGTATTTATTAGTTTATAGTTGAGCACAATTTAGTTAAAAATTCAAACAACTTCAATAAACTCAGTTAGATAAAGAAGTTAAGAGTTAATATCAACAATAGCAAGATTTTACCAATGTACATACTGATAATTCATTAGAGCCTTTGGAAACATCACTGCATGAATGTAGCTTATATTTCTTTTCTGTCTCATCGTATTGATAATAGCAGCCGGCGTTCCCATCATAATACAAACATAGGTCCTAAAATGTGTATGTTGTAATGTACTAGAAAAAAAAATGCTCGTTCTACACTTAGTTTTTGTTTGAAACTTTACCGCATCATAGTAATAGCCTGTCGAATAATCATAATACATTCCAGAAACAGGCTCATAAACAAAATTAGATTGTATGTTTTCAGAAACTTCTTTAGATTGACTAAGCTCAATTTTTGCTACCGCATCAACGGTAGTTGACTCATGTTTGTTGTTGATAGATTTAAAACAAATTTTTGGCGGCTGCAATATATGCAAAAAGTTATATATGTTTTATAAATTAATAAGAGTTGAATAAATAATAAATTAATATTACATCGGCTAAAGCATTTCGAACATTTGTTAGCACTTGAGCTTGAATGTCAATTACATCATGAAGTGTATTTATGTACTCAACAATTTCTGGAAAATCTTTTAGTTTTTCTTCATATTGTACATCAGGAAGCTCCACATTGGGCATCTGACAGGCATCATCTCCGTATGTTGATCCAGGATTATTGGACATTTTTGTTAAATTATATATTGTTTTCACTATGACGATGATAAATGGTAACACAATAAAAACGAGCAACGCGATTATAATGTCTATATAAGCGATAAAATAAATAAAAATATTTATCTAAATTTTATAGACATCGTTTTTAGCTCATGATTAAAATACTATAATATATCCATTTAAATTTCATTTGTTTTGCTGTTCATTTATACCATTTGTTTCATTTTCAATATTTTTGACATAAACGTCCATAACCTTTATTAACGTATTTATACAGAGAATCATCATACAGCAATACCAACATATAAGTTTTATGTGTGCAATTTTATGCTTATTTATCATAGACCTTATTGGCTATGTGCGAAGGCATGGAAGGGGAAGTCAAATCGACCGAAGCGTTCGTTGTGGCTACTTTGAGAATTAAAGTAGGCTATTATGACAGAAATTTTAAGCAAAAACACATACAATATTTGTTTATTTCAAATTTAAATGAGATAATTAAAAATGAGCCACCAAAGCTGTTGTGTAGTGGGTTGTAGAAATAAGAGCAGAAAAGTGACTGCAAATTCTATACATTTCCTACAGCTAAGTGGAAAGAAAATCAACGGGAAAAGTGGATCGCGGTTAGAAGAATAAAGTATCATAACCTTATTGTTATAAAAATTAAATTCGGAGTACTATGAATATTTGTAAAATTGTTATGTTTAGCAAAAAGAAAAATTATAAGTCAATAAATTGTTATTTTATCAAAATTTAATGCTTACTAGAAAAATTGTTTTGCAAACAATGTAATTAATACAAGGCTGAAATAATGATAAATATATATTTATATATTGTATATTGATTATGTATAACTATTATCTATCTATTAATTACATGTTATTGTATAATAAATGTAATTTTATGATTAAAAGAGAAATAAAAGTTATCACATAGCGTAAAATGTTTATTTTACCATCAGTTTAATTAATACAATGCTGAAATAATGCAAAATATGTATTTGTAGTGTTGATGGATCACCGTGGGTTCCCAAGCCCTATGATCGCATTTGCAGTGAATCGGACGAGGTATTGAATCCAACCTACTTGTCAACAATATTTCCTTCAATTTACAAGACTCGAAAAGTTAAAGTCGTTTTTTTTCCTGCAATTTTATTTGATGGGTCTTGTCTTTATAATAATGCCTAAATCATGTCTTTATAATAATGTCTAAGGGTTTAGTTTGACCAAAAATAATGAAAAAATGAGTAAATTAATTTATTATTTACTTATTCTATTGATAAAATATTTTTATCATTATTATATTGTTTTTATCAAGAACTATTCCGAGCTCATGACATAAGCTTTAAGGCACTTAACCTTAAAAATGTTTACTGCATTTCTTTATTAAATTAATCATTACACTTAACTATGTTTTAAGTGCGTTGAAGTAAATTTAATAATTTCAATAAACATTGAGCGTTCACATTATTATTGTATAATGTTTATTATTATTTATAACAATTATTTAATATCTTTTTTCTTTAACAAACATATAAAACCCATAAAAACCACACACTGATAGCCTTAATTAGTTCATATTTATTCCGGCGCTGCATGAGCGCTGCAGTCACGCTCTGAGCGAATACAATACCAATGAAATTGTATAAGGTCTATGTTATTTATTTAAGTTTTATATGTGCAATGAAAAATGGCATCGAAACTTACTTATCTATGTTCGAAACCATCTCGAAACATAAATAAATACCACTCTTCTTTTATCTATGATAAATACATACTTATTTATCTAGGAATACATGCTTATTTATCTATGAATACATGGCCCATGGCCGAACATCTCCGAACAAATGTAGATTATCGTCGTAGATTATCGTAGATTATCGAAATAAATTAGTATTCAAATTGATCGAAGGATGGCGCTACGATTCACATTTTTTTTGATCTAGTTTGATCTACATTGATTCGAACGACATTTTCTATAAATTGTCATCGCGTGTTGTAGTTGAGTTGTGTTATACTTGCTTATCTGTTATTGTTTATATATATAATTATGTTTTGGTGATTACTTTTTTTTATTTATTATTAAGTTAAAATGGTAAAAGGTAATGTGCCAAATTGTGATAACTCCACAAATAATAAAAAAATGCATGTCTTTCCGGCATTTAATTATCAGGTATGTATATAATGATGTATTATGCGTATAATGGAACGGATTAACAAACAATGCAATAATTTAAAAGATAAATTGCAACAGTGTATACAATGATCTGAAAAGTTTTCAAATATTGCAGAAACGTTAAATGTAATTCAAGAATTTTGATATTGTCTCAATTAAAAGAGCATACTAAAAGACCAGGCAGTTTATAAAAATCAAGATAAGTAAACGGTATTACGTTCGTATGGTATACGAACCATATCTAGAAAAAATACCAGCTGTTAATTTACATACTGTACACGTGCTACCGTGTTTTGATGAATTCTTAAATTAAAATGGGTGTAACGCAAATCGCCCGAGATATCGATCTATTTATGCTTATTTATCTATGGTCAATCCCGTCAATGCTCATTTTACTCTTTTATCTATGGCCGTCATCACGAAACCATAGCACTGTTATTGAGCACCCAGTCAACATTCGTTCCATTAACTCGTGTGAATTTATCTATGGGAGCGATTTTAATACTTGACCTGTATGAATTAATGACATTTCGTATTGTATTAATTATTAATAAGTAGTTTTTTCATGTACTGTAAATGATTAGTCATTATGATATATTAAATAATTTATTTGAACACATTAAGTAATTGAAAGGTATGTTTTTGACACGTTGATAAGATATATCTTTTCTATACAACATAGAAGTATTTAATTAAATAGTTTATGCAAATTGTGCGAGTTTAGAAATTATATAGGTTGCACTATGGCGGAAAATCAAGAAAGAGATTCGAGGGAACAGCCTAGAGGTGCTGATGCATTAATGCAACATGTCGCCGCACACAAAGTAGATGTAGGGTTATGGACTATTCGTTTACTAACGATTATTTTCACGATTGGATATATAATACCCATTTTCAGGTTTGTTTTTATTGAAGTAATATTTTGTACAACACTCTTTAAATATTTATTTTATAGTTCAGCTGAAAGTTCGTACTATAAAGCAATATTAGCTAATGCTGCCACAAGTGCATTAAGGTTACATCAGCGATTGCCAAGAGTTTCAATCAGCAGACAGTTTTTAGCTCAATTATTTTTGGAGGATTCCTGCCATTATCTTTTATTCTCTCTAATATTTTTATATGTAAGTCCGGTGCTACGTATCCTTTTATAAATGACATTTAAAATTGGTTACATGCATAAAAGTTTTTTGTTTGCATATGCATTAAATACATAGTAAACCAAACTGTTAAATGGTTTAAATTCTCATGTATTAACAGAATTATCAGATATTACAATATACAGTAATGTCCCGCTTAATGCGAAGGATACGTTCCATCAAAGTAGAGCGTAATGAGAAACAGTGCTAAATGAGGCTATCTTTACATGGGAATATTGGGGTTAGGAGAATATTGGCATAATGGCATATTGGGGTCAATTTCATCATTAATCCACATAGGCAGTCGTTTTTATAATTTTTCTATGATACCCTTTTAGAAATGGTAATTCCAGTTACAGAGCTCGAGTATTTTTTCTTTAGTCTTCATGATGGTCCTTATTTTTGAAGTTGCCAAAATCAATGAAGCATTAATTAGAGTTTGATGTTCACCAGAATCTAATCTTATAATCATTTCCTTTCTGGTTTAGAGTTAAATCAAAATATTTGATGTAATTTTGTATTAAATATGTAAATTAATACCTATTTACAATAATGTCAACAAATGGGGGAAGCCTTGAGTTGAAAAAAAGCGTTAAGGGGGAGTCTGCTTTAGAAAAAATCAAAACAAATACAGTCAACCCTCGGTTAACATGGCACTCTGGGTGCACGGTTCCCCCTATTACGCGGAGCTAAAAGTCAGACATTCCTCCGACTACACGGACTTCCCATTACAGTTTTTGTTCAATAGCCCATAAGTTCCTTGCGCAACCTATGAGTGATTATAGGAACTTGATATCAAAATGGTATTAATGTAAGTTTTGTTATCGACTTTTATCTTTTAGACATGCCTGATTATATAATAGCTGTCTAAGAACACGTTTGAACTGACTACTGCGTCGCGCCAATTTTTCAATATTGTGTCTGTCATACATGTCATTTCGTCCGTATTACTCCTACTTCAAGTTGTATTCCATGGTCTCCATACAGAACGATAAAAATTGTGCGATTTGTACTAACTCTGAGTCTCCCATAGCGCAGTTCCCATACTGCGTTAAATAACTTTTCATAGAACGCACTACGAATTAGCCTGGATTGTATGTTATGGCTCGCTCCATTGCACGAACGCGCACGCAGTATACTGTTTGCTATATGCGCGTAGTTTGCTCTGCTTGCAATAATTTAGTCTGCGCACATTGCAAACAGATTCGCCGTACGGATTCGTGCAACGGAAACGAGTCATTAAATACAAGTTTTTTATAGCACGGTCCCCATACTACACGGTACGGACTTGCCGCGTTAATCGAGGGTTGACTGTATATATTTTTAATAGTATAGATTCTAGTTGAACCTAAAAAATCCAGATAAAAATTAGAAATTCACCAATTTTTTGCAACTTGAAAAAAAAATCATGTTTTTTGATACAAAATTTTACTTTAGATTGTTTAAAAAGTGGGTTAATTACAACTTTTTTCAAGTGTTTTTTAGGTTCAACTGGAATAGAATTTAATCCTGAATACAATGAATATTGTCTTGTTTCGATAGAACGCTTAGTTTTTTCTCCATCTTTCCAGCCAATTAGGAAGAATCGTAAAAATGAAAAAGCGAGAAATCGCGCGTCGAAGTTTTCGTTCCGTTTGTATATATGCTTGACGTTTGCTCACTATTTCTTTTGTAATTCCGAAAATAATTCGAATTCTAGGGATTTACGGAGATGAAGAGCAAAGAGCACAGAGAATAGAAATCGAGTTTTACAAAAAAAAAAAAAAAGATTCGTGAGACAATCGGCTGAGCCATTTTCTTAGAATTAGAAGAAAAGAGCAAAAGTTTTTGTCTATGTTTTGAAAAATATTCTGAGCCAATTCTGAAAATGTATAAATGCATTCGAAAGATCTCAGTCGAGTATTGTGCATAATAGTACTTGGTGGAGAAGGGCTGGTCAGCTTTTTTATAATTAATTATTAACAAGTATTTCTAGTGCTGATGGAGGTCACGGTTTGTCATAGAATATTTTATTTATGCAATAAATTTATTAAAAAAACTTTTTGTATATCACTCCTTTATTAAATTCTATAGTTGTGTTATTACCAATTGTATTGTTTGCTGCGCTGCATTCGGCTAGCTACTCATTAACTCTTCTTGATGTAAGTATTTGTTATTTATTAAAATGCTTAAAGCTTACTTTTTTTAAAATATCTACATAAATAATTTTATTAATTATATATACTGCTCATTATATTTGTTATACACATTTTATCTAATCTCAAAAAAAAGTTTGAATGTTCTTATTTTTTCAAAAAAGTCATTTATTATTTTACTTACTTTGTTTCAGACTTTAGGCCAAAATTCATGGTGGGGAGCACGTTTAATGATATCTCTTATTGAGTTTCAATCAAGGAATATTTTGAGACTCGCAAGTTTTTCAGAAATTATGATTATGCCCTTGACTGTTATTCTTATATTTTTGTGAGTAGCAAAACAAAACATATTTGATTCAACGTGTTATTGTTTGTTTTAATTATATGTAACTTGTATCTCACTATCGTTTGTTGATTGTACATGAATGTTGTTTTTTTTCTGCAGTGGAAGAGCTAGTCTTTTTACGCCGTTGATGTATTACCATTTCTTAACGCTGCGATATGCTTCAAGGCGTAATCCTTACACACGTAATATGTTTTACGAATTGAGATTGTCTGTGGAGTCAATAGCTGCCAAACCAACAGTTCCTGATTTTGTTCGAAATGCTATTTACACCGGAGTTACAATGGTTTCGCGATTAGCTCCAGTTGAACAACCTGTGCAGTGAACGCTAATAATGTTCTAACATATTTTTTTGAGCAACTAATTATTCACATTTAAGGATTTTACTTCAATAAAATTGTTGACTGCTTGGTAGCAAATTATTGATGATGCCGGGTAATAGCTGTATTAATTAATTATAATAATGTCATTGTATAGGTATAATTTTGGGTAATATATAAATTATGCACATTTATATATTTTTTTTGTTTTTTTTTGTACTTTCCTTATTTATTGAAAATAAACAAAATGTTCAGTGTTATAAATAAATTTGTATATCATTGATTAATCATGTTTCGGATTATGGCTTTCAGTGTTATTAACTTCCCGTAGGGTAGTTACAGTAATGGGCCCCGAAATTCGAAAATGAATTTGTTTTGCTTTTTTTCACGTTTTGATGGTTCTGAACATTTTGGCATACCTCATTATCAGAAAAAATGGATGTGTGTGTTTTGTGTGCCCGCATTTTTTCGTTCACGATTTTGGGCGCACGGATCAACCGATTTGAATGGTTTTAAAAAAAATCGATTCCTATTGATAGAAAGATGTGCTGATTAGTTTTTGGCAAAGGCAGGTCCAGCCGTTACGGAGATAAAGAGCAAAGAGCGCAGAAAATAGAAATCGAGTTTTTGAGAGAACGGGGCATACGATTTGAATGATCTAAAAAACATTCAATTTGTAATGATTGAGAGCAGTGGTGATTAGTTTTTGGCAGAGGCGGGTCCAGCCATTTTGAAGATACCGAACTAAATGTACAAAAAATGGCAGTTTCTGAGAGACACAAGCATACGATTTGAATAATTCAAAAAACTCTGCTTTTGTTGACAAACCATTGCTTTTGGAAAAAAAAATTCATGTCAATTTTTTTTACAAAAAATATTTTTTGTATATCGAAAATGTTCGGATTTCAATTTTACTTCTGGTTAAAGTTCTAAAGCTCACTTTTTAAGTGAATAATTTCAACTTTGTAATTCAGTTTATATAATTCTTATAAATAATATTAGGCGATATTACAGAATTTATAATAATCTATTTGAAAAGTTTAATATTTCTCCAACATTTTGTTACGATACGAAAAGTTACAGCAATTTGCCTTAAGGCACGATGCCATACACCACTAGTTAATATTTTGTTAAAGCCAGCAATCCTTATTAGGAAACTTGCGAATCATTATTTGTCATAATTTGCTTAGAGAATAGTCTAAATAAACAAAAAGTGTAGCCCTATAGTTTTTTTTCTCTAAACAAATTTCTTTGAATGCAAATACCATTACCACTAAAATACTTAAATTAAAAAACTGTAAAAGTTTCATTAAATACTAAAATGGAACATAAACTTGATTTTTCCAGTTTGTGTACAGAATTACAAGATTCGTGTGTGCATTTATATATACCAATTCACATCTTGTCGAGGATAATTTTCTAATAGTAACGTTCTCTATGTTATTCACGCCGCCGTTTAAATAATTTTTTCTTCTTTTGTTTTCAATTGTGAAAACAAATTTAGGCTGTTAAAATTTACAGTATAAGTGTTAATTTAAAAAGTATAATGCATATGCTCTTTTTGTTTGTGTTACTCTTTGTCTATTCTCTCTTTCCAATGATAAGTATAATTCTCTCTTTCCAATAAAATTTCCAATTTTTTACTTGCGTAGATGTAGATGAACAATGTACATGTTTAAGGCGAACTAGATTGATATCGCCAGGAAGAATTTAAGAACGCATCAAGTAAGTTTCATTGCATACAGCATTTGTTATACGAGGGGCATGTAAAAAATAAGGTTCCCACATTTTTTTCAGGGTTGAGACATTTTTTATTGCTATAAATGTGTATACCATCGGAAAGCTTGTATTTCAAACTATTTTTCTACTTAGTCGCCAGATCTTTCAACGCATTTTTTCTGAGGAGTTTTCCACTTCTGAAAACCCGCTTCAAAGAACTCCGCCGCCACGCCCTTGCTCAGCCTTCTTCTCCGGCGATTTTGGATGGCTCTCTTGAGTTTTGTTAGTGTCTCGCTGTACCTGTCCGAATTTATAGTGGACCCTTTGAGCATTAACTCGGTAAGCAAGACACATTTTCGGTCCCAAAACTCGATGTCCTCCCGCTCCTTTGCTCGTCGTGAACGTCTGTGCGTCCTTCGGAGAGCTCCCTGCACCATTTGAGGACGTGCTGAACGCTGATGCAAATTTTGCCATAAACTTCTTCCAACTGTCTATGAATTTCAATAGGTGTAAGCGAGTTTAAAAATCGAATGACTGAACGGATTTCACACCTGGCGGTGACGGCGATTACGCGCTCCATCGCGGATGTCTGTTACACAGGCACTAAGCTTTGCAGTGATCTTCCAGGTAGTTGGAATGGAGTGGCAAGGATCAACAATGAAAATGGTGTTGCCGGATTTCCCCTAGTATCTCGCGCGGAAAGTGTACAGCGTTGGGAACCTTACTTTTTACATGACCCTCGTATTAAATTTTTTAATACTAGGCCTTCATTCATTTTTATTATTATTGTTATTATTAGATATATACATATTATTATTATTATTAGATATATACGTATTATTATTAACAGGGCCGGTCCTGGGGTCCTTAGCGCCCGCATGCAACTTTGTTTTTTTCTAGCGCCCCTCCCCTATTAATTAACTGTTTCAACAGTTTATCATTGAAATTACATAAATATTTACATATTTTTTTAAAATTAATTTTTAATTATTCTAGATTTAGTACACAAAAAAATTAGATATAATCTAAAAGCGTATAAAATACATTGATTTTAGATTTATTTAGAAAATCGAGGCGATTCGTGGGTTGATTATAATCAACATGTGGGGATCAAGCAGGCAAGTCATGAGAGAGAAAGCAATTGGACTTGTCATATTTTTATATCATTAATTTTTATAATCAATAAATTTTATATATTTTTATTCAAGTGGAGTTTATACTTTAATATACATTACTGCTCCCACATTGGTGACCCACGACGCTTGAGATGAAGACAAAGGAGTATTTTTCGAGGATTTAAGAAATATAGATTTTGATGCAGCACCATAATCACTGGTCTGCAGTGACTACTTATAAGGTGCGTCCAGTCCTCGGTTCATCGTAGTTAACGCACTTACTACCTGATACCGGACAGTGGAATCGCAATTCAACCTCTCCTTGTCCGTTAACTCAACAAATCGTCTTTTGATGCCACCTCCCATCATCGGTGACAGCGACGAGTCGAAACAAAATGATGACATACATTATTTATTGGATTCCACAATTCTGGACTCTTATGTTAAAGAAACCAATGATCCTGATTTGGATAAAGAGCCAACTTCTTTCTCTGATAAGAACCCATCACATACGAATGCAACGCCTGCAGAAATGGAACTGTACCCATAAATAATGCATTCCAAACATTAAGTAATTCTGGTATAACTAATTCCAATTAATTATGATGGTAGTGAAAATTGTGAGCAATTGATAAAAGTGTTTATCACAGAGCCACAAAGGATTCGAGAATCCGATGTATGATCCAAAGGGCTACTGAAGTCGACTAGATAATTTTAATAATTGCGAAAATTTATAATCTTACAGAGCGTCATATGTTTACCCAAAATATTATAGAAATTAAAATTAGTAGATCAAGGCTGAAACTTAGAAGTTCACCAATTTTTTAGAACTTTATGCAGGGTATGGAGATGATGGAAGGTCGAATTACCTACCATACGGTGGATCTGCCGACGAAACATGGGAATTACTAATTGACTACCACAATACTGCTATGATCTGTTTTCCAACCATATTTTTATAACGTTTCCCTGTATTTTCTTTTTAAACTGTGAGGTCAACACTGGGCAGGGAGTGTGTGGGAAACAATTGGACTTGTCATATTTTTATATCATTAATTTTTATAAACAATAAATTTTATATATTTTTATACAAGTGGAGTTTATACTTTAAAATTTTCAATTATTTTTAACGTATGTCCAATATTAATATTTGGGTTTTGAAATATTTTACTTATTTATTATTCGAGGATATTCGCGGGTTGATTATAATCAAATATTTTTAAATTTTCAATTGTTTTTAACGTATGTGCAATATTAATATTTGGGTTTTGAAACATTTTACTTATTTACTATTCGATTTATTCAGGCTCAATGTTTCGTTTTAAAGTCTGCCACTGAGTCCTTTTTTGTACACGGTTTTATGCGAAGCTTTTTCTTAAAAAAAATGAGTTTTGATTTTTT